TCGATAACCCTGAATGGAACTGAGAGTATAAAGTTTGCATGGAAAGTTCTGAATGAATATAAAGTAATTCTATCAACTTGGTGTAAGAAAAAAAGGTGATAACAAGTTGAAAACTTTACGAATCTTTTTTTATACAGTTAATCCAATTTTTCATTCAAAGAAATTATCATCATCACTTTCACTGGCATTTTCTCACCAACAACAAAACCAAAGCCTATTCATCATTCTGGTGGTAAGAAACTTACTAATCAATGAATTTCAATGTAATTCTGAACCTGAACATTGGATTAATTTGCTAATTAGATGGTTTAAATTTCTAAAGAGCGGGAAAAAGCTCTCAACTGCTCTGGATGATGATGTTTTACTCAAATCAAACAAACATTTTTAATAAAAATTTAGATTATAAAAGACAATCAGAGTGAGTGAATTGAAAGTAAATGATGAAAGTTCATAGGAAAAGAAATATGAATCCCAGTCAGTTGAATTACATGGAATAGAAAATGAAAAGTTTGAGTAAACAGAATGCGATGAAAAGTTTACATTGAATAACCCAATGAGAATATGTTTACATGAATGATAATATCACTTTAATTTCATGATAACAATTTGACGACATGACAAAATTATCTCATCATCATCATCATCATGAAAATAAACAAAGATACATTTTGAATCATCATCATCGGAATAATATTTCCAGAATAATGATAATTCAGTTCAAGTGATGGAAAATCAGTTAAGTGAATATAAGATTGAGTCTAAAACTATCACCATGATGATTATCATGAACTGTTATAATACTTATGCTGATTTCTATCATCTTATAACAGTCAAACTCATTCAACAAAGATAATAATAATAATAACAATAACATATTATTATTAGAGCATCATCAACAACGATAAAAGTGAATATCATCTCTGAACAAATAGTATTAACAAGAAACCATGATGAAGATATGATAAAATATGAATTTCATTGAGTCACGTTCAGAATAGTTGAGAAAAAGTATATAATCAAGTTGACTCTCTCTTTCTCCCTTTTTTCTCTTTCAAAGAGATGATGATGATAGAGAAAAGTTTTATCATCTTCCTCCTTTCCTGTTTACAGCATCTTCCCTTTAACATTCAGTGAGTAATAATAATGATTATGTTTAAGTTACCATGTTACTATTTTTTTCATTCACTTCAAGTTGAACTTTTATCTTCATCTTTTATCATCATCATGATTATCATCATGTTGCTCTCGAGAAATACAAATGAAAAAGTGAATATAAAATTTACCATGATAAATGAAATGATAACATTTGGATATACTTCAATTTTTCCTCTATTTTTGCTCCACCAGAATTCAAGTCCAATATCTTCATCTATTGTTATTGTTACACTTATATCTTCGTGGATCTCAACTATTATGAATTATTATTGATTCTCACTCAGTTGGTTAGCTGCCTTCCAGCATCATGGTGAGAGAGATTCTGATTATGAAACTATTCAAGGGAATGAGAGTTAATATGTTTACACTTAAACTGTTGGGAATGATTGTCATGTTTTTCATGATAAAACTCATTAATCTTACTAGAAATTTTGTTTTCTAATAAAAATTATTACTCAGTATTAAGTTTTTCAAGCTAATGAAACTTTTTCTCATCTTCATTAGTTTAGATATTATTATTAATAGATGATCGTCTCGGTGTTAATCAGAAAAACTTGGAAACTAATTGGATGGATTTAATGGCGAGGATATTAACAATTAATTCAGTTTGTATATTATTACTTGTTTAGTGATTAAAAGTTAAGTTGTACCGATAAACTTTAATCATCTTTAATGTTTCTGCCTTTATTAATCAGTTGCAACTTTGTATTAATTAGTCTAATTATCGTGATTAACTTTTTTTGTGTGTTCTCAATTGATTCCATTAACTATTGAGTAAAAATCTCTGATTAAATCATAATGATAATAGTTACAAATTAAACTAATAAACTAATCTCATTAAATCTGATAATCTTGGTAAATATTAATTGAGGGAAAAAAGTCAGAATTTTATCAATTATCGATTATATTTTCTCATTATCATCCTCATAATGTTTCATTTACATCAGAATTACATGTCTTCATCATTGAATGAGCTCGTGAGAGAGAGAGAGAGAGAGAGAGAGATGAAAAATGGATGAGAACTAAAAAGATAATCAATTTAAATGGATAAGTGATGATGATGAGAATCCAGTGAGTAAATGGATTTATAAATTTCTACCTTTTTTCTCGACTATACTAATGATAAACATGATGAAGATAAATAATAATTGAGATAAATTGATTTAAGGGGAAAAGTGAAACTCTAGATTAATTTTACTCGGAAGGCCACATGATAACAGGAAGATTGAACAACATGAAGATGATAAAACCAGAATAATGATGATAATCAAAATAAATAACATTTACTATTGAATGACGTGCAGAGGAAGATGATGGAAAATTATGGATTAATTTTTTCTGTTCTATCCTCGATACCACCATAGTCACCACACTATAATCATCATCATCATCTCATGCTAACAGTAATCTGAATATTGAAAAAAAACTAAACATCAGAAAACTAATCTTAAGCAATGGAAACACAATCAACATTAGGTTTCATAATAAATTTGGCTCAGGAGGAAGAAGCATTGAAAGTTGGTAGAAAAGGATAATCTGAGTCTCACCAAGGTAGAAATGACTTTTTCTCATCTTTTCATAATAATATTTTTCCTATCAGCTCTTCCAATGTCTCTCCCACTGCCTCTCTCTGCCTCTCTCTCTCTCTCTCTCTCTCTCTCTCTCTCTCTCTGGTTCTCTTTCACTCTTCCGGCTCCTTTTGTTGTTGATTTCATCTTTTGCAAAGTGGATTTATGACCATTTTATATGGATGATAAATCTCTCTCCCTCAATGGATGGCTTCCTAACCTTTTTACATGTTAAGCTATTTAGATTAACCGGCAATGAGTAAAATTTAACTTAGAATTCATCACTTACCCTGAGTTTTCATGGCTAAAAGTAACATTTTTCATTCTCTCTCACCCCATGGATATCAATTTTCTGTTATCATCATTATCTCCCGGAATAGATTCAATTCAACTCACAAGTAATCAATTTCAACGATATAATTGAGCTGATGAGCAAATTTCAACTACCAGCTCAATTATCAGCTAATTAAGTGAATACTTTTTGATGTTTAATTGTTGCAGAGAAAAACAAAATGTGTCAACCAAACAGTTTTTCAAACACTCTCTTCAGCTCATCTTCACTTGATGAATGATGGTGAAGGAAAATCATTACAATCATGATAGTGAAAACGTAGACATTGTTGATTGATTTTCTTACTGTATGAGAGAAACTGAGCAAATCAATGGAAAGTTCAACTCTAACGGCAAAAAGCCTCCCAGACGATTCTAATTATTGGTAATTAACTTTTCTACAATTTGATTGTATCGCATGCAATTGTAATCGATGGAGTAAAAAAAAACAACATTCACATGATGAAACTTGTCATCTTTTCATTCATCTGATTACATTTACTTGTTAATCATATTGTCGAGAATTAATGTAAACAAATCTAATTTTCGTGATAATATATTGTTACAATATTTTCTTGTGATATTAATACAATATGATATTATTATCTTGGACTTTTGAAATACACACAATCTTGTATGTGTACAAACAACAATCATCATCATTTGATGACCAGAGGTCAACAGAAACTAGAGGAAAATACAACATGACAATGTTAAGCAACCATGATGATGGTGATGATGATGATGAAAGGTGAACAAGGTGATGGTAGGAAAAGTATTAGTGAAAACATGAATTTCGTGTTGAAATTCAATGTGGAAAAAAAAGTTGAAAAGAAAAGTTTTTTTCTTTAGCATCTTCATCCTTTTTTTTGGCTCTTTTTGAAAATGAGAAGCTGATGCTCCAAGTCAATGTTGTTTTCAACAAAAAGTAGAAAACAAGGAAAATGGCAAAAAGAAAATCTGAAAGATGAGGATGACAAATATAACTGAGAGAAGAGAAAGAGAGTGACAAAGGGAATCATAGGTAGAAGGTACTAAAAAGATGTGATATTTGTATGAGAGAAAAATGAATAAGAACAAATAAAAAGATGTAACAGAGAAATATTTTCATTCACATCACGACATCATCTTCATCTTCATCTTCATCTTCAACATCATCACCATGGTCTTTTAGCCTTAGGTTGCGTTTGTTATGTACTTTTTTTCACCTTCATTTCTTATCTTTTGTTGATGTTGTTATTTTCTTGTTCATGGTTGTTTTTGTTCACAAGCACTTAACAGGCAAGAATAGTTCAGTGGAATTCAGTTGAATGATGATGATGAAGTGAAACGAAGAGAAAGAGAGACGATGATGATGATGATGATGATGATGATCAGGGTGAGAGTTGGTGGAGAAAAATTGAGAAAAAAACAAGAACAACAACAACAACAAAGACAAGAAGGAGGTTGAAAGAAGAAAGTATCAACTTGAAACAAGGAAAAGAAGCAAAAAAGTTGAAAGAGTGATGATAAAAAACGATGATGACACTTGGGATTCAAGGAGAATAGGTAACGAAAGGAGAAAGATAAAGATGACGATTATTGACATTATCATTATCATCTTCATCTCAAGGTTATCACCTTTTCAATGACAAAGTTAAATGTCAACCAGGAAAAGAAAAAGAAAAACTAGTTCAAGTAAAATCGGCGGTTGAATAATTTACACATCGATAAGTTATCAAGTTAATCAATTCTTGTTAACTAATAGAAAACGATTATCACTAATCTTTACCTGATTAATTTTCATGATTAGATAATAGATTAACCTTTCGAGTCAATTAACTTTTTGTAAGCTTTGTTTTTGTGCTCCTCTTTGATTGGAAAGAATTGGAAAACTTAATCTTGGTCTTTCTCTTCAGGAAAAGTTCTGTCAATTTTCATGGCAACAAAATATAAAAAAACACTTACCGACAACATCGAGAAATCCAATCTGATAAAGCATTGGAACCGTGTTTATTTGGCACATGTAACCTCCTCTATCCTCTTCTTGGGCATCGTTGATAATTAAATTCCAAACTCGCAGTTCACTATGAGTTAAACCGATTCGATAGTTTCGAGTAATTATATGATCATGTATCGTCAGGATAGTTTGATCTTCGATCCTCATCCAGGCAACCTGATAATTTGAAAATTTCGAGAGAGAAAAAGGGAGAAAGAGAAAATTGTAACAATGCAAGTAGTAATTTTCTCAATCTCTCAACGACTATTATTATTATTGTGATCTATTTGTTACCTTGAAAATTCCCAAATTTCGAACGATACAAGTTAGTCTGGCATCTCTTCCGGTTGAAACTGTTATATTTGAAATGGAATCAACAAATTCTGGTACATCACCAATGTAATTATCTCCTGGGTCACTTTCATCTAGAATTGTGATGAATGATAAAATAAATGATTAAGGATTAATAATAAATTGGACTCACTGAAACTCATTGACACAGAAAATTATTCCAATGATAGTTAAATATTTATGAAAATATCCATTTGGAATTGAGTTAAACTTTCTTGTACCTGAATTGGTTACTGAAGATTCAGTTGAAAAATAATTAGATTGTGAATCAATTGGATTGTCATTACTATTCACATTTTGTACACTTGATGATTTGTAATTTGATGAGGATGAAGATGGTGACGATATTGACCTTGTAAGGTGACGACGATGATGTTGATAAGTTGCTGGTGATGAGGATTCACTTGATGAAATGATTGGCAATGAAGTCACATTGTATGTTGATGGTAAGGATAAGAGTGAATGTTTTGGCGATGATGATGAAGATGATGAGGATGATAAGCTATGATGATTATGGAGATAATGATGATGTGATGATGAAGTTGAGATAAGGTGGAAAAAGATTAATATTAACCAATAATCAGTCAATTCTAACCAATAGTTGAACATTTTTAATCGACTAACTATCAACATGATCAACATTTTCACTCGTCATCAACCTGTTTCAATGTTGATCAACTACCAACTATCAATGCTGGAAGGATGAAGAAATATTCCTATCCAGAGAAAGAGAGAAAGAGAGAAAGAGACAGCGATAAATTCATTCCCAATCAGCTCCCTCTGGTGAATTCTATCAAAACCTTGTCGAACTTGATAAAAGTTTGAGTTCTCAAGGCAAACGTTATCTCGAACCTTTGAACATTATTGATAATTAGAAACTAAGAATATTGAGAAAAAGATTTAATAAGTAACTTTGATTGATCGAATTTTTTTCACTCTAATTTTTGAGAGAGAAAAAAATTCACCAAATGAACTGACCAATTGTTACAGAACTTTTTCTCTCCCTCTTGATAATCTTTCAAATTTTCTCTATGTTCATGTTCAGGATCTTTGCGTCTATTTTTCTGAACTGTTCAGTTGCTCGAACTAACTAAACTTTTCACTCATAATAATCATTATCCTCTCTTTTAATCATATAGTTTTTCTCTCTCTCTCTCTCTCTCTTCATGATGATGCTGAAGAATATAATATATATTTCATGATAAATTCATACCAATAACTATTAATAGTAAAGAGAGAAACAAAAAGTTTCTCAACATTTAATAAGCTCAATTTAATTTTATTATCTAACTTTCCAATCGAAATATAAGAAATAGTAACCAAGAAGAGAAAAAAAAGTTCAGAGGTTGAAATTTAGTGAAAAAGAAAAGCAAATATGTTTACATGTAGAATTTCATTGAATCAGAATTCTGAAGTTTCTAAAATTGCTTCAAGTTCTTAATGTGAGAAGAGAAACTTTAATTCTTGTTAGTTTAATAATCATTACAATCATAATTACTTTTCCTTTTTTCTCCCATGTAATTTGTAAGCTGATAATCTTGAGATTATCATGTTCTCATAAAATCATACATATGAATTCTTGTTTACTTTCAGAATTTTACCTTCCCAAGTTATTATTAGGTAGATCAGAAAGTTTTGCACGAAAAAATGAAAAAAAATCTTTTTTTACCATTGAGCCTATGGAAAAGTTTTGACTTTTTCGAAAAAAAGAAACAATTTAGATTTAAATTTTTTCGGTAATTATAATCAGCTAATTATTGAATTTAGTACAAATTAAAGAAAAATATCGAATTTTAGATCAATATGATCAAACCTACCAAAAAATGAAAAGAAGACCGTTTTTGGCCCTCTCAAAACAAGATGAAAAAAATCTCGAATTTAGGCCATTTTCGAAGCGTTTTTTAGCCTGGTTCGAATACCGAAAACTATGACTTTTTCAGATATTTATGTACGAAAAACTATGAATTTTATATTCTCAAAATTTTATTCATTATGATTAAGCACCTTTGCTCAATCACACTTTTATTGTTAGACCAGATTTTCGTGCAAAACTTTCTGATCTACCTAATATATTTTTCATTAACTATTTCAAACACTTTCATGTGATTATTATCATTCTGTAAACAATCAAATTACTTTTCCTCTCTAATGATGTTAGCTTATTAATCCTTCTGATTAACGTCGTCAATTAAATTGAGATTGAAATTATAAGATTATAATTCAGATTAAATTCTGGGTTAACCGAATCAAAATGACTTCGAGTTTCAATGAATGTTCAGTGTACAGTATTTTCTTCATAATATTATCTAAATAATGATGGCGAAATCAAATCAATCGGTATAACAGTTACACTTAATCACTTTTGTTATTATTAAGATGTGGTCAGTATGACCAATAGTTACAGTTCATATTCGAGATGGTCAATCAATCTAATTGTAATATTACTCTTTCGGTTATTTTGTTCATCTCGAGTTTTATTTTTCTATCTCTAACTTTTTCTCCATGTAATCTGATTCCAAATTTATCGTTAATGATGAGTAAATATACTTATTATACAATCCATGCTGAAGAATTCATATTACGATTTATCAATAAGATCGTTACTCATAAAGAACTTGGAACTTGAGAAAATGTCAAAGTTCCAGGTTGATATATATTCCTATTGAAACTAATCAGTTATCATTTCACCTCCAATAGAATCAATATCTTGATTAATCAATTAGTTAAAGCTAATTATCGTGATATTAATGAGAAAAGAGTATTAATTGATTAGTTTACAATGTAAACAAGAACTGGAACTTTTCATTATGAGCCACACCCGTTAGAGTATTTAACTAAATTGAAATGATTACAAGAACATGATCATTATCACCATGATTATCATCGAGTTGAACAATGGATCAATCTTTTGAGAGAAAATAAAAGTTTCCATGAAAAAAAAATTCAACAGAATCTCCTCACCTCTGAACAATATCATCAACTATACAAAAGAGGAAAAAAGTTCTCTCTCTTTTTTCATGGTAATATTGAGTACTCACCAATTTTCAGGGTGTTTCATTGCTTCATCAGTTCAGCGATGATTCCCTCTCTTTCTCTTTCACCTTTTTTATTTCCTAATTGATGATGATAATCATGGAAAGCCTGAAGTAGAAGGAAAAAGTCAGAGTAACTTTGAATACTCAGAATTGATGAAAAGCAACAAGATGATGAAGGCTGGAAACGTTTTCCAATGAAAAGCTTAATGGTTCATGTAATGATAAACATGATAATGAGCAAAAATCTTCATTCTTTCATGTTAATTCATGGGAGAAAATTTTTTGCCCCGAAAACTGAAAATCTTAATTCATGGTAAATAATATTGAAACGAGAATCTAATCTCAAAGTTGAGAAGCGAAAAGTTCTGATTGAAATGTATTTTACTCTTCAAACACTCAGAATTTCATATAATGAGTTGCATGATAATCCAATACATAAACAACCCAAGTAAATGAAAAACAAGTTCTAGTAATCAAACTATTTTTTTTGTTCAATGAAAATTCATGAGTAATTTTTTCTTCTTCATGCATTGTAATAAAAACGTTAAAAATTTATCATGTTGTATTCAGTTTCATGATATTTTTTATACTAGAATTGAATCTTTACTTGAGTAAGCAAATAAAAGCTGAAAAAGAAATGATAACAGATAAATAAAGTTATCTGATAAGGATTATTAAAAGGTTATCATTTTTCATGGATAAGAGAGAGAGAGAGAGCAGGATCGAAAAGTTCAGTTTGTTCATTAAAATATCATGAAGCATGAGAAAAGTTCATGTTTGTTGTTTTCCCGAATTTATTTCACATCAGAATCAGCATTTTTCTCATCCAAGTTTCTTCAAACTTTTCCACGAAAAAAATATATAATTTCACCATAACTTCATCATCATCATCACCACCATCATTATCATGATTACTATTAACATCACCATTATCATCAAGGTAGATAAATAGGATTATGGGGGTGGCTCGAAATTTGCGTGACCAAATTTTCTCGTTGATGGTCTATGGTAAAAGCATATTTCCAATATAAACTAATGGGTAATAATGAACAAGAGAAAATAATTTTCACTGAATCGAATCTATTCTTTCAATCTGATGTTAAGAATTTTTTTCTATTCTACTTTTTTCGCCTCTTCTTTTCTTCCTTATCATCATTATCTTCATCTCTCTCTCTCTCTCTTTAAAGATGAGAGTAATAACTATCATCATGTGTGACATATACACACAAAGGCAAAAGTCATTAGATGCTAGATTTAAACACGAGGCTGATAAATACATTGGGAGGAAAACATTGACTTCCTTCATGATTTAAAAGTGATCATCATCACCATTAACATCAATAGACAAAAGATTATTGTTCCCATTTGTACTTTATTATTATTATCAATTCATTGTAATCTCAATCACAATTTAATCTTCTCTGATTGTGATTAACTTTATTCCCTCTTTTTAAAACCGGAAAACTAATCTCTTACAAGGGGTTAAAGGTAAAACCAATGATGAGAAAACCTTTCAACTACAATACAAATTGAACACGTTAACATTTCCTCCGATAATGTTACCAATACATTTACTCTCTCTCTCTCTCTCACCAGAAAGTGTATGATAATTATCATGGTTGATAATCAGTTTCTATTGGAAATGATAAATGAAATATTTTTTTTTCCTTGATCAATGTTGTGGTCAGACAACTTAAAATCTTAATCGGATTAAGACTTGGTAGTGATTATGATTAACCTTTGTCACGATTAGAGAAGTGCTGATGAACCAATAGATTCAAGGATTGGTCTTATTGTGAGAATCAAATTGATACCAAATGGATTAGATATAAGGATTAGCTGAATAATAATAGTCAAGACAATAATCTATCATTTCTGATTAATTAATTATATTAACATTAATCACTTTGATGTAAATTAATTCCTTGTTGGTCTTTCCTCTTTTTCTGTTTATGATTATTGTATTGATTAGGTTGATATAATGATGATCTTTGTATATTTGCTGTTGTCAATGAAATCAAGACAAATGATTCTGATTCTGATTATGATTATCATCAATTGAATGGATTGATTATCATTATCAGTGAAAATCAAGTGAATAATATTGTCGTATCTATGTAAAGATATTATCATGGGCTGGATTATAACGGTTACTGACAATAGCAGAGAGAGAGAGAGAGAGAGAGAGAGAGAGAGAGAGAGAGAGAGAGAGAGAGGAAATAAGTTAACGGAATTGATTGTGATCAATTGTGTACAATATGCAAAATGGATGATAAATGATGATGATGATATGCATTTAATGGTCACAAAGAATGATGTCAATAACAATCAATGATTATTTATGATGAAGACTTAGAAAGTACAGGTAACAGGTAATGAATTCAGTTAAATCTCAGGAAAATCCACCAGCAACCAATAAAGTGTATCACTTATTCAAGAAAAGGGATTAGATTAAAAGTTGAATTGACAAACAGATTAACAGACTATTTGTATTCTGAGATAGATGAAGTGATATGAAATAAACACGATCGACAATCTGAATGAAATGAAATATGAAAATTTCCAATATGTAGAATGTAGTAATAATATCGAGAGAAAAAATTCTAATATTTATTATTTTTTTCCTTTTATAGAAGATGAAGGAGAGAAAGATGTGATTT